TGGCCACATGATACCCTCATTAACTGTTGGCCACAGAAACAGATGTCCTGTACATCACGTGCCCTATAGATCGCAAGGTCTGAAAGGGGAACTCTATATTATACATGCAAAACATGTTATGCATGACCAAATTTAGATTATGGTTTGTAATCAATGTGTTGATTGTTTGTTGTGTGTAATAATTTGTTGTTTTGTTTATTGTTTGTGATATGTATTCCTATTTTAAAGAAAATCACCTTTGTTTTGTTGACAGGGAGATGTTTCAGGAGACTACAGGACTCTTATGCTCGCTTTGATATCTGGATAAATGGGGGACTACCATGTAAGTCTCACCACATCTAAGGCTTTCAGTTGTATACAACCTGGATAAATACTCTTTTGTTCCTGACTAAATCTGTAGTCCATGTTTTATTATTTTAATTTAATGTAAAGAGCAAGTAACAAATATATGTGCTGTGAGTGGGTCTACCTGGTTTGATTTACATTATTCATAGTGTCCAAATCAATATGCATTTGTCCATGAATACTTGTAAACATGAACAATCATTTTTAGTTTAAAAAAACTACCGGTACATTTAAAGAATTTTAACCTGTGTTCTTTGTTTTAAAAAAATGTACTATCATTTAATCTTTTAACAGAATTCCATTAAATAAAATGTTTTTTTGTTTGAATGTTATTGAAAAAAAAATGTTTCGTAGCAAATAAAAAAAAAAGATTTTTTTTTGGTTCTAAAATGTATAGATCTAGATCTATTAGTTTAGGAGTGGATGCCTTTTTTTTCTGTTCCTTCAAAAAACTGTTCTTTGTTTAGGAATGACTGCTCAAGTGGGTTACAAGTTGTGAAAGAAATGACATCCCAGCAACACATGGAGCTCTGCACACCTAGACTGAAATATGTACACTCTGATGATCATGCTGTTCTTATGTTTGACTTAGATTTAGTGTTTCTAACTTTTGTTATTTGTGTGTTGAAAACAACCAGCTTTTAGCTCTTCTTTTTAGGAGATTTGTTTGATAGCTCATTCACCCTAACAACCAGAACTTGGTTCTTCTTTTAGGGAGGGAGGTTTGATATTTTGTCTACCCTTGGTAGACAGGTTAATATTTACCTTTTTTTTGTTTGTTTAAAAATGCAAATTATTCAACTAATGTATGCAATGTAAGAATAAAATAATCATCCACAACAGTCTAAATAGTGCTTACATGCCATAATCTATTTTTAAAAAATCAACAAATGATCTAAACATTTGTTTAAAATTTAAGTTAAGATATATCCCTAACTTTGATTTTTAAATGCTGCATCTTGTAATTGACAGATATGTAACTTTGAGAGAAGATGACATTAATATTTTATGCTGTGTTTGTTTTGCTTTATTCTACTTTTTCTTTAAGTCCTGCTTTAAATAAATGTCTTATTTCAACTGAAATGTATGCCATACAATATTGTTTGTTTTATTATCTGTAGCATGTATCATACAGAAAAATTTTCAACAAGGTATTTTAAAAAAATTATTTTATTAAAGTTTTACATTTATAACCTGTATATTAACGTATATACTCTTGTTAGTGTGTGTGCTATATGTATATTCATATTGTTTGTTGTTTTATTGATTTGTCAACCTTGGCTCAGTCTAAATGTCAAATTGATTCTAACTACAAATAATATTTATTTATGCATTTTATTAAATACTTCTTGAAAATTTATATTTCTAATGCCTGTAGATCACAAGAAGCTTCTTAAATACCAGCAAACAAATTATGTTGTTATATGAAATGTCATAAGTTCAATATTCACTATAAATTACTAAGATCTGATTTTGCTCTACAGTTAACTTTGCAGGTGTTTGAGCTGTACAAGTTGTTGACAAATTTTTGTTTCGTTATTAGAAAACTTTTTTTTTTTTTTTCGTTTTGAAAGCTGCTTTGTTGTTTGTTTGATATTCTGTTGTTTTTACTGTATTCAATATACAATTGCACTTTTTAATAACCAAGTTTGATTATCTTTATGAGAAAATAAAATTAGCCACTATAACTTAGACTAGTAATGTTAAAACCTTGTTTCATCATTATAAATCTTTTGATGCATATTATCATACTTTTTATTGTATTGGAAACCATTAGTATCTGCTCTAAATTGATAATAATAATTCAAAAATATTGACTATGTTATCAGACTGAATAGAAAAATAAATGTTTTTCTTTTATTCTACTATCAGTTTGTTTGAAATGACTGTCAGAGTTGATAATTTCTTACTATGTGTAGATCATCTTTTTCTATTCTGTGGTGTATGGAGATTCTTGAAATCTTTAAAGATTTGATCTTACTGGTTGTTATTATTTTTTTCCAAGTGTCATTTCTTCTGGTTCTGGTAATTTTTTCATTCAAATAGTAAATGTCTTTCTTTTTCCTAGTAATTGTAAAGTAGCAATGGTCAATGATTTTCAGAACATTTTTTTTAACATCAAAGCGAGTCAACTTTTTTGTTTTTTGCTTTTCATGCAAATGTTTAGTGTCTCAGTTCTATATTTCATATAGCAAAGATGTCTACATTATATCTTCAGTCTGTTTCATTGGAATATTCATATTCTGATATTGTTAAGATTTGGTTTCCAGTAATGACTTCAGCATACAATATATAACATTGCTTGAGTAGATGTAAAGATTAATGTAACTCTATATTTATATACTTTGTTTCTTGAATACAATATGATTTTGAATGTAATTGCTCATTTATTTGGTTTCATTAACATATCATTATTCAGCCGTAAGTTCAAGTCCTTTAGGTTTTGTCATCACATTGAACCTACTCCTCATGGACTTTTGTTGTTTAAATAGGCCAGCTTAAGAGAATGGTTGTGTTCAACTAAAGCTCTTCAGAATTTAGTTTTCACAGTTGTTGTTTTCATTGCAAAATTTACCTAACAAATTGCCAGTGGTTAGTAACCTTAGGCCATTTCATTTTTTTTTAATTTTAATTTTTTTGGAAACATCTAAATGTCCAACCAAATTTATAGCAAGCCTCTCAAGTTCTGTACATTTTTTTAAATCATTTTATTTTTTTTAGTTGTGTTGATAATATTGCTGGAAAACAGGAATCATGGGTCTTCATTTGTATTATTTCTTTTGTCATTTTTTTTTCTATATTTGTTCACTAATAAAAATATAATTAAAAAAACATTTGTATAAAACAAGCAGTTTTCACTTGTTTTGATATCAGTCTTAGTCTATTGTAATTAATACTGTGCATTACAACAATTTATAAGAAATGTTGTTAAATAAATTGTTTTGAAGTGCACTGTAATGCTAGTCTAGAGACCATTTATCTTTGAAATGTATTATTTTCAGTTCATAGCTGGAAAAAAAGACTCACATGAACAAGATTTCTGCCAGTTTCAAACTTATGCTCAACTCAATGTTTCAAACATATATACTAAATATACAAAGTCAAATCAAGCTGGCCCCATGGATTCACAGACCTCTGTTATCCCCTCCACCCTTTTTATAACTCTGGCCAAAATTTTGTTCACTATTTCTCCAACACCCAAGCTGAAATTTTGCAATTATTTCTTTTATCTAACAACACAAGAATCAATTTTAAAAAATTAACCAAATAGTTAATTAAATATTGGTAATAAATTATTGTGTTTGGTATCTCAAACAATGGAATGAAATAGTAATTGACTGAAGTGATGGTATAAGCTGAATTAGTCCCCTTTATATTAGGCTGATTATAGACTCTTTGCTAGCAGAGTGGTTACCACGTTGGTTTGAGAAGCCTGAGAAAGCTTTAGCCCACAAGTTCAAATTCAGGTCATTCAAACAACTATCACTCAGATACCCCATTCTTTCATCCCCTTTCCAACTGGTAAAAAAATTTTTTTTTAATTGCACAGCTTCATTATTGTTAGTCTAGATCTATTACAAATTTAATTGGTACATGACTGATCCAAAGTAATTCATACACATTAATATAACAAATTTTTTAAAAGTATTTTTATTTTCTTGTTTGCTATCACTTTGGCGTAGTAAGAATCCTATAATTTATTTTTTTTAGCTCCAGCCTCAGCACACAAAATACTTCTCATTTCATTTTGTTTTTTTTTTACATTTTTATAACAAAAATATGTATTCAGTCATTGTCTGCTTCATATGACAAAAACATTTTTTGTTGACATTGGCGAAAAAAAAAAAGAGTTAAAATAGTGCTTTTAAAACAGGTGTTGGGGCTGAGTGGTAAAGACCTTGGCTTGGTCCTGACACCTAATCCTGCTGAAGAATTATTTTTTTGGGGATCTTTAGGGCACCTCTGAGACCACCCAGCTCTAATGGGTACCTGACATTAGTTGGGGAAAAGTAAAGGTGGTTGGTCGTTGTGCTGGTCACATGACATGCTCATTAACCATGGGCCAAAAATCAAATGACCGATACATCATCTGCCCTATAGATCGCAAGGTCTGAAACTGGTACTTTACTTAAACACAGAAGGAAGTTTAATTCTGTACTTTTTGATATATGTCAACTTTAAAAACATATTGGGTTGAAATTGCGAATAAAAAAGTTTCTGATAAATTTAACCATTGCAGTTTTGATCATGAAAATGAAGTTGTCTTATATCCAATGTAACAGGTTAAATTTTCAATTTTTTGTGTCTCACAGTGATAGGAGAGTCAGTGATATAATATACAATAATGGTTATTGAGGGCTTAAAATTGTACTTAAGTTTATTTTATGCCATTTTTATTTGTGCTATATATATATTACAATTTAAGAAAAAATTGTAATGCTGCCATTTAAAGTTAAATAGAAAGTTGGTTTTGTAAATTTCCGCATCATTTTGCGCATCTATCAAAACTGTTTCGTAGTAAGCACCTTCGAGTTAAAAGGAACCTTTATACAAAACTAGGTGCAAATCCATTCTGCCATGCGAGATATCCTGGTAGATAAATGAATGAATGGTATTTGGCATGTATATAGATTTACCACATGCCTTTGCAAACACGTTCTAATCTGGTATAAAAAGAATGAACTAGTTGAATACTAAGTTGGACATAATAGGCCTACTCTTGCTTAAAAAAATAAGGAATTCAAAATTATAAGAATGTAAAAATAAAAATATAGAAGCACCAAAACATGAGTAGCTAAAACTGATACTGGACTTTCTGTCAACTTTATTTATATACCAGGAAAAAAACAAACAAAGGGATTAAAACAACGCAATTGACATATTCCCAATTTTTTTTTGTAGTTTTATTACATAGTTCCTATTTCCTCCTGGAGAGTTGTCTGTTACAGCAAACAATGATTACTTCCTTTCACTCCTCACACAAAGCTGACATTGAATAATTACAAAAACAAATAAATCTTTACAAGCACACTGGCATACACATGCAGACTTGTGTAAATAGGCCTATATATATATATAAATATAATATATCAAGACAGATGTTTTGTTTTTTTGCATATATCCAAAACAGTCATTCATTTATGTTAATGTAGTTGTCAAACATCCTAGAGCCACTGACACAGATCACATAACTCAGTACTGTAGAGGCATATTTATAGTACACACATGGAGCTTGATATATATATATATAAATAAAGTTACCATACATTTATGTATATACCTATTCATCGCTAATAACATTTACATAATGTAAAACAAGGCTATTAAGGAGCTCCTGTAGGCTATGGAACACTGGAGTAATCTAGAACTCGTGCATTTAAATTCCTTTGACCTTAGATTTATCATAACCATTTCTTGTATATATTTCATTAAAATGAAGACTAGTAGATTGCAGTCATCTAAAACTCATGCTCTTAAACTCATCTAATCTCAGCTTGAATCAATATAATCAAACTTACACTTCAGCCATAACAGACTTTCTGAAAACTAAACCCTGTTCCTCTTATTCCCCAAACTCAAGTGGAAAAACCCAAACTTTAAAAGAATCTATAGCAACCAGTCACTGTGACTGTCAGGATTACATTTTTGAGAACTACTTGAGACTGGCTCAATTTCTCTATAACTGATTCTTTGACCTTCTTTCTTCCCAACATCCACTTTTCCATAGTTAGGTCAAACTAAACTAAAGCACGGATCACTTCTAATTCTAGATAGCTTCTAATTCTAGAGTCTATATGGTACGGTTGAATCTAGTACATAGAACTACATCAGAAAGCAATAACCAGCTAGTCTGATAAACAGAATTCACTTGTATAAGAGGATTGGTTTAAGTATTTTAGGTTTTGGTCTGAACAAGTGGCTGGTCCAATTAACCAGATTTGACTGCATAACTATTTTTGCAGAGACCCTTTTTTTTTTTGCACATTGTCTAATAATATAAAGAAGAAAAAAAAAGAACTCTAATATAGCATCATACATACATCCAAAACAAACAAGTTAAGAAATAAAAAACAAATGCAAGGAAAAAAACAAGAGTCAACAACCTATTCACTTCTTGCAGTGATGTCAAATACAGAAATAACAAAAGGTGTACAGGAGAAGTAACTCTTATTTACCTACCGGTATATATATATTATAAATATATATATATCATATGGTACATTTAAAACATTACTTTGTAAAAGTAAAACATAAACAGAACCCCCAACAGTCATACTTAAATGAGTGAAAAAAAAAATCATTGTAAAAAAAACAGCACGTAGATACTAATGAAGGCATCCTAGACAGTGGCATCATTTCAAATCACAACACTGCTGACATATGGCCGAAGTAAAAAAAACAAACAAATAAATAAATAAATATAATTCAATGACACAATGACAAAAGCTCATCCCAAACTGAAAAACATTTTTTTTTTTTTTTTGCTACGTATACCCCTCCCCCTTTTTTCTTTGTAGGATAATGGTGGCAAATGTAAATGCACTTGAATGCCCCCGGTTCAAATTGGAATATTTCTTTGTTGGATTTCAGGAGCTACCATGTCAGTTGAAAATCTTACACTTGAACAGAAATACATTTCAAGAGGGCTCTAAGAAATAGGCCAACAATTTCAAGAGGGCTCTAAGAAATAGGTCAACAATTTCAAGAAGGCTCTAAGAAATAGGTCAATAATTGCAGAGGGCACAAAGAAAAAGGTCAACAATTTCAGAAGGCTCTAAGAAATAGGTCAACCATTTCAAGAGGGCTCTAAGAAATAGGTTAGCTATTTTATCTCTTTCCTATCAACAAGGATTTCAAAAATATGTCATCTTTTTTTTATTTACCATATTGCCAGGAATCTCAGTGATCTGAGTCCTATCAACAGATAGCTTATCCCAATCCACCTAACAATAGGAAGCTCAGCCCTATAAAGAGAATTTTCTAAAATAAGTCATAACTTTATCAATCATATCAACAGAAATTTTAGATCTACCAACCTATTAATTGGATTTTTAAACCTATTTTTAGACCTACTAACCTAGAGATTTTAATCTTTTCAATTTTAAGCCAGGAAAAACAAAATAATATTCACATATAGAAATTTAGAAGTTTATTATCATTCATCTGACATAATAAAAAAAAACAGTGTTGAAAAAATATCCCTTAGACCTTTGAAACTTAAGCCTCTAACATGACTTATGACTAGGTGCAACCAGCTAAACCAGCTGATATCAATATATATTAATCTTGATCAAATGATATTAACACTATTTTATCTATAAACACATTTTGTATAAAGGAAGTCAAATAAATTTATACAAAAAAAAATTATCTGGATGTTAGTAAAACTGATCAATCATGGCCAATGTTACATTGAAGTTAAAGCTTACATGAATACATTATTTGGGTGACTGATACACAAAGAAATAAAGGAGACCATATTCTAGCTTTTAAGATGAAGTAGCATACTCTGAATCAAAGTAAATAGTGAAAAGAAATAATGATGGATAGAATAAGGCACAATAATACTAATGCAATCTCTGACAAATATGAACAGAAAACTAGTTCAGAGAATAAAATCAATGAAATGGGAGGCTATTGCAAAATTCTAATTTTGTTTCCAGAAACTTATTCATTCTTTAAGAAAATGGGAATAAAATTTGCCTCTTACATTTTTGGAGACCAACCATATAATGACCATTTTTACAAACCATACATTTAGAAACAAAAGGCACATAATATTGTTTACTAACACTGTATTGCCTTATAAACAAAATGGGAGAAAAGATGTAGAAATGGGAAGTACTCTAGTATTTAAATTACAAAAAAAACACTTTATGTCGAGCATTGTATCTAAGTTGACATTTTTAAAACCTTAATGAAGGGCATTACAAATATTGTATAGTTACATATAGCATGCAATGATTGGTTCATTATTAGAGGATGGAAGTACACTGTTATAACTAAGTAGATAGAAATGAACTGCAGCAGTATTTCCCACTTATGACTGCAGTTGATAGCTAATTATCTTTAGGTTTCCATAACCCATTCTAAAGCTATAAATAATGACTGTAGGCCTCCCTGCCTTAACCACAATGAATATCCTGTTCATAGGAAGCAAAGAAAAACAAAACAAAACAATGCATTTAAAAATTGATCCATTAAAATGAGATTGAACAAACTTATCAAAGGTTTTATTTTTTCATGCACAAAAAGCATCTCAACAATGTTATGTTTATAAAAAAAAATCAACAAAAGAATAGGTGGAAGCACTAAGAATAAAAAGGTTTTTTGTTATAAGCACAAGTAACAGCTGATTGGGATAGAAATATAAATGCAAAAACAATATTTATTTTTCTATTACATAAAGAACATCAATAATTTCCTTAGTGAAATAAAACTTAACAAAAGAAAAGCGGTCTAGAATAGTTCATTTCACTTTAACCTCAGTATACAAATGACAAGTTTTATTCAAGCGGCAACTATCCATCCTGCAATTAACGCCCACATCAAATAAATGAACCCATGTCACACAAAACCAACAATACACAGCTATGTAACAAGAATATGAAAGCAGTGGATTTTAACCATACATTTTTATGGTATTTGGGAACTCCTAGTTTTCTTTTGTCTTAAGTCTAAGTAATACAACTGCTTCAATAGACTATAGTTTTAAATTGCCAGCACTGTTCAGGATAAAATACTGTTTGTAACTCAGGGTATAACAAATATAAGCTGAACATAGGAGATTTACTTGTAAGCGGATACCGAAAAAAAATCATGTGGAGAGATTAAGCAGAAAGAGCACAAATATTGACCATGTAATTATTTTACATGGCTCCATTTTTGGTAAACACTCCTTGCGTTTAGTTTAATACAGACAATACATCTTGATGGAAGTGGAAGATGAAGTCAACATCAAAACTGGGCATATAATGGTGTGTATAAGTAAAACATAAGCTCCTAATGACAGAATGTGTTACTAAATGCTGATACAAGACAGCAGAAGATTATTAGTAGTGTAGTGCATCACCAGTTAACAAAAAATAAAGGTGGTCCATCGTCATGCTTTTCTTTGTGTGGTCCAAGCTCATAGTACAATGCTGTGCTCAATATTGGTAGTTAGGGAAATACATCAACTTAAAGTAGTAGATACAATTTTCTGTAGGACTATTAACTAAAATAAATAATTAAATTATAACAATACAGAGAGGGAAAAAAAAATTATTCTTAACCAACAATGCTGACTAGCTTTCTCCTTTTCTAATATACAATGTAGACATAAATACAAGAAAAAAACTCTTAATAATGAGCATGTATTCCTAAACAAAGTTCATTCAGTATGTGTACATATCCCAGTTGTTTATCCATTAAATTAAGAACAAATGGTCAAAAAGAATTTCCTCTCATACAAAGATTCCCAGTGGAAGAAAACAATTAAGGGAAGATTTAGTACATGCATTAATGCCTTTAATGGAATATTCTGTACTCATAAAATAAATTGATAAAGCACTCAAGAAAAAGGATTGTGTACAAATTTTCAATGGAAGATTTAGTATATATTCAGAATGTATAAAACATATATAGATAAAGCACCAAGGAAAAGGAGCGTGAGAGGCCTAAGTAAGAAATGTCAGTGGACTAGTTAGCCACTCAACATGTCTGGCAGCAGCTCCAAGGGAGAGAATGACAGCCAGGGTAGAAGTTGTTCAATGAGTGAGATGTTGACAGCACAGATCTTTATTCATTCAGACAAGTTTGTACAATTAAAACATCCAGCATACCAACTGACATCAACTTCAAAAGGATCCAATAAATGTGTCCTGGCTACAAATGAATGTCCTCAACAAAGTTAAGAAGTATAGTAACATCCATGTCACTGAATTAAAAAAATAGCTCTATGATTCTAAAGCTCTTTTTTTTTCTTTTTTTAAAGTATAGGCATTATAAACAACTTTATTATTACCATCCTGCTAGTGAATGAATGTTATACATTTAAAAAGATGAAATGGATTTGGTAAAAAAAAAAAGGTTCATAAAATGTCAAAAGCAAATTTTTTAATGAAATAACTTTTACTTGAAAGTTCAAAGTGTGTAAAGCCTTGGTGAAAGAAAATAAATATTTTGCACTAATTAAAAAAAACAACATGTGTATAATAATGTGTATTGTTCTACAATCATGATTATATCAAAGGAATCAAACAAGCATTTCATTCATAAAATGACAATTAATTAAGAAACAAATTGACAAGATTTAATTAAAGACAGTTTCAGTTCATTGCACACAAGGACTAACCATCAGTTCCTTGTGCCTCAGGCCAGTAAATACACATATATACAATACAGCACCTTCACTCCAGTGCATAACATAATAAGGCCTGAGACACAATCCAGATTCACAATTCTACACAAGTGATTTGTTTCTGTTTGTAATCAAGCATAATTTACTTTCACACATGGAAGGACATACAGATTTCTAGCATGATAACTGAGCAAAAGTTTAACCCTCTCTTCCTTTCAACCACAGTTTTGCACACAATTTTTAAGTTTTCTTGAATATAATTCATTATTTCCAGTTACATTTTAAATTCAAAATGTATTCATCAATTTTGTATATTGTCTCCAATGTAGCCCCAAATAGACATTATATATGTAAACTATGCTTATTCTGTGTCAGCCTAATCTGTGCCTGAATATAGATCAGCAGTTCTCAGCCTTTTTGGCTCCACAAACCATTTGATACAACTTTCACTATTTGTTCATAGGCCTAAGTAAGTGAGTTACTGTGCTTTGGATATAAAATTGTAATCATAATGTAAGGCCTATATATTAGTTATGTATTTTATTTTGTTGACAACCGGAAGAGCGAAAGCATTATATAATTATATTTTGTGTAAAATCAATTTCTTATAATTAAATTTCAAATAAATGAGACTTGCTTTATTACTTTTCTTTTGCTTTTTCACCATATTCATGTATATTACAATGTGACAACTTAAAAAGCATGGTGGAACATGACTACAGGGAACTACATTGGTGCAAAATGGTTATGAAAGTACAAAGTTTGCATGTTGAGCATCTTTCTGCTTCAAAAGATCAGACTAAGTCTTTAAAATCATCCTCATTTATATACCTCACATAGAATGTTAAAATAAAAATGATATCTTGATTCAATTGTCAGCAACATCTATTCTTGAATGACATTTACAGTAATAAAACAAAATAGTAACTGTCAGTGGAAAAACTTCGTATAATGTCAAGTTTTAGATATCTGAATAGCAAGGGGGAAAAACGATGGTCATAGGCAACCCCTGGCTAATTATAATTCAACCCCATGGGGTCAAGACCCACAGGTTGAGAACTGCTGGTACAGATGCCGCTGTGATGATGAGGATAATGTAAAGCTCAGTTGTTTCTCTGTTAACAAGGGTGTCATTTGGCCAGAA